AACATTTTAAGCTTACTGAAATCTAGGATTTGGATACAGTCCCATGGATGATGATAGCAGGTTGAAATTTATTCAACAAATATACAGATTATATTTGACAATCATTTTTCTTTATTGTCTTTTACAAGTGAAATGGCTTTTATTCACTCGGGTAATCTCTCTCTCTCTCTGTCTCTTTCTTTCAGTCAACCAGAAATACACACAATGCTTCACAGTATGATTCTTGGAGCATAAAAACTACCCTTTTTCACCTAAATCATTACATCTTCTCATTCCATTTGCTGTTCACTCAGTGGTAGCTTTCTTTTACTTCATTAAATAGACAGAAATTCAATATTCAACCACTGTTGTATCATTTATTTCCCCTATATTTGAAGGCTTTCCATTGGCATACTATACTTGAAAGAAAATATTCAATGCTAACAATTTTTCTTTAGATTTTTCTTGCAGGTTACTGGTATACCTGTATATTTTCAGTTGAAATATTACCAAATAAAGAATTTTTTTTTCCTTAGCAAATAATCTGAACTGAAATTCAATGAGTTTGTCTTCATTTTAACACAATGCACTGATAAGAAAACTTTAGAGAACTTGATTGAGAATTGCATATATTTTTTATCCTTGCTTCCAGCTTTTCTAAGTATGGAGTAAATACAAATATTATTTATAACAGGATATCTGCTAGTTTCTCTGTTCGTCAATGTTTCTAAGAAAACATACAAATAATAAAAGGTGAAAGATTTTCTAAAACCTTGAATTAGATGACTTGCTTAAAAATATTTTCTTAAAAACTTACAAGGAAAAAAATAACTTATCCAAGAGTACCATATTTCAATAAGAATATTGGCAAAACTGAATTAAACTCAGCAGACACTTTTTTCCAAAATTATCATCTCTTCCAGTTCCGCATACAGATGCATTTTGAAAAACATCAGTTTCTGCAGTGAGACTGTTAAACAATCCTGCTTCTACAATCTTATTTTTACATTGTTTTATATGTTTCACTTATATATATATATATATATATATATATATATATAATATTGGGTAGACATATATGTCATTCCATACAGTAACCCTGCCTGTGAGTGTGGGGAGGTAAGTAAGTTGTGGAAAGCACAGAAAGAGAAGAGCTGAATGCAAAAAGAAAAAGTTAAACTGGGGGCGGGGAGGAGGAGAAGAAAGATTATTTGATAATAATAACTTAGTTTGCTTACACATTTTAATGTTTAGGTAGATGGGGAAAATTAGAAAAAGATTTTTGTCTCTTATCAACAGGAATATAGAAAACTCATGACACTTGGAAGTTGAAAGATTATTATCATTTCTGATGGCATTATTATACTTTTTAAAATAAACATAACTCTAGTACATCAACTTCTATATGGGTCATATATCAAAGATATTTTTGCTTGCAATTAGGAACTTGAACAAGTTTCATCTTTGTTCTTTTGTTAATTTTAATATATTTTTGCCTACATTATACATCTGAGAATTACAAATATAAACAGCAAAGAAGTTAAGAAATCTATGAAAAAAACAAACTATAGAATAATAAAACATCTTTTGACATAGAGGATAAAATGTAATTTTGAAAATAGCTTACCTCCTCCATGAGTTTCCTAACAAGCATCATGAAAGAAGGCCATAATCAGAAGCACATCTTAAAGCAGAGACGTTTATCATGCATTAATGTACTATGGAAAATAAAGATAGTTTTCAAGACCCTCACACATACAGAAGTACCTCAATTGGATGCATTATGCTGAAAGTATTAATAACCCATTTTAGCAAGGGATGTAAAGATGGTTTATATATCATCAAACCACTCCAGAAAGTGGCATACCTTTATTGTTGGAAATTATATTTCTGCTGTGTTAACCTCACAACAGCATGTGACCATATCAATAGAGACTTTGTCTTTTCATCCCTCAGAAACCATGTACTAATTTTTGACTCCACTGGATCTGATAGAGAAATTATATCAGTCCATAAGGTTGTACATGTCTGGTGAGGACAGCAATTCCTAAACATTTCAAAACTCAGCAGGAGTACAACAAAGAGGAAATGAGAACACCAATCTATTTAATCTTTTCCTAGACTCTGCCTAGCGCATATACAAGCACAGATGTGTAGAGATGGACACTGATCATTTAAGCATTCAATACCACATCTCAAATGAATTCTACAAATAGTAAATAAAGTTCCTGCTTTCTCTTCCCTGGTCAATGTACTGATGATGAGGGGAAGGGCTATAGCAATGGCATAGGCATTCATAGTCAGAATAAGAAGGATCTGGAAAAAAAAATCAACATCCTCTACCAAGTGTTCAAAAAATAGTGCTCAAAATAAAGAAACTATGATCTAGATTTGAATGAGAGCTGTGATGGTACCTACCTTGAATCCACAATAAAAATTGAGAATATAGTTAGAAAATACTAAGCCCTTTCAATAGCTAAGTTTATTGATCATTTATAACAAATTTAGTACAGGAGGTAAAGAAATTGAATATGAAATAGGCTGTGCTAGGAGTAGTCCAATACCTCATATTGCTACAAAACCAAAACACTAATGTAAAACCTTAAACTATATTCTTAAATAGCTTTATAGGATCAAGATGTTCATCTGGATGTCAAGCAACACAACAAAGCCATTGAGAAATATTCAAATGGTCAGCTGTATAAAACCACTTTCTCAAATCAATGGTTAAAAGTGGATTTTGAGTAAATGGAGTAGCTAGGTAGCAAAGTCCACTCTTCTTCAAACCTTATTGACTGATACTATAAAATCATAAAGAACTGTACCAAATAATGCAAAGCACATCACTTGAGGGCTTTCATCAACAGATAAAATTGATATCACATGTAACTTGAGGAAAAAAATAATGACATAATCAAGATGTTAAAATTCCACATTATTTCAGACAAAAGTTTAGGAAGGAAACCCCCATCAATAGTGGAGTGATAACAGCAAGTAGACCTGAGAAAACTATTTTCGAAAAAAACTGTTTTAAAAAAAAGATTTTTTAAATTTCAATGATGCTATCACTGACTGCTTAGTCACTGAATGCCAAATGTTTCCTTATAAGGAAGCAGCTAATATTACATTACCATTAGTATCTTCAAAAAAAAAAAGCAAGGTGTTTTTATTTTTTCTCAAAGACAAGTGGCCTTGACTAAATAATGTGTTCTTCTGTATGGTGATATTCTATGCATAGCTTAGATATGGCACAAGGCCAAAAGTATTGGGCACCCACTAGGGATTGAACTTATTACTTAACCATAATTGTTTCAGCAAGACAAGCTTACTAACTATTACACTATGATGAGGTGCCCACATGGTTTTCTGTATGGATTGAATAGAAAAACAACTAACAACTGAATAAGATGCTAAAAAATGTCTAATTGGTTAAATACTAATTTGAGTCAAAATTATCTTAACTATCTGAGTTCATGTCCCAAAGGGTGAATAGCTCATAAATTCCCTTTATTAAAAAAAAAAATTATGCTAATTATTCTTTCTTGGTGAAATTAAGATTAAAATTTTATGGAAACTTGCATTTTGGAAATTTCAAGAAAAACCAGTACTCACCTAAAGTGAACACAAAAACAAAAAACAAACAATTAAGACAAAATTAAGAATAAAAATTAAGAATATTTCATTTTTTGTTTAAATCTGACTGATATCTTATTATCTAATACTAAAACACTAATCTTGTGTATATGTATGTGTGTGTTTTCCCAAGATAGAGTTTAAACAGTACATAATACCCCAACCAATTTAGAAGAATATTATACCTTGAATCCCTGCAGAGTGCAGTGCCAAATTTCATTAAAATTACACTAGGGATTCTTGAGCTAGGGCCATTTTCCTGTTTTTACAGCTTTTTGAATTAGAAATACAGTATTTGTTTTTGATACACATTCTTATATTCCAACTATTATTTGTGTGAAAAATAATAAACATTCATAATGCATTATAACATTATTAAATAAATTTAAATTATGAGTAATGCAATATATATTTATACAATTCACTACAATACATTAGAACTTTTTTATAAACATCTACTTGAAAGGTGAAGAGGCTATGTGTGCCACATGTCCTGATAGCAAATAAATAAATAGATGCATGCTGGTTTGCTGCCATTACATATTTTGAAATAAATGCAAGGAAGAAACAAGTATATATAATAAAAAAATATACTCATTATTTTAAAAAGAATACACCTGTTTTAAACTATTACTCCAAATTTTCATGCAATATGTTAACTATGAAGCCCAATGGAAAAATACCTTCTTTAAAGATGGTAGATACAAACTGAAATGTATAATTAATAATAAAATTGATAATATTGTTACCTCATCATTTTGTATCATGAATTGTTTTTAAAGAAACATAACATGTTTAGTGGGGGGGCTAGTATATTTTAAAAATTAATTCTATTTTAATGATGTTTGATAACAGCATATCATGGAGTTTAGTTGAAAGCAGGTGAGGCATCTAAGAAAAATGTGTATTCTCAAATAATATATACTGCATTCTATGCATTATTATTAACCAAATATGTATCAGGTTTTTACTACTTGTAGTAAAAACTTGGTAATTTCTTTCCTTTGAACATAACTTCTGTGTAAAAAGGTGATTGCAGCACAAAAATTCTTCTTTTATATGCCATATCTCTTCAGGATGTGGGAAATCATGGATCTCCACAACTTCCAATCCTTTGTATTGATTGATTTTTTATGCCTTATCAATCTTTTGTAGGTTATTTAAAGCCCCATAATAATATTAGATTGTAAAAATATTTTGGAGATAATAATGATTTAATAATACAATTCCTACTAATTAACCCAAAGCTGAGGAGAGAAGAGGTTGACCATACCTTTTCCAAGGGTATTTGTGTGTTAGTGAATATAACAAACCCAACTTCAATTAGAAATCGGCTCTCCAATTTCCAATTCCAAGCTGTTACCCATTACCCAACCTGCACATCCAAGCTTACAGCACCTAGTATTCACAAGAAGTCACCCATCTAGGACTGACCAAACTCAACATTGCTTAACTTCAGTAACTGTATGAGAACCAGTGTTTCAATGTGGTATGGCTGTAAGCCCATCCTATATAGGTCTTAGTAATGTTTGTGTTTTCACTATCCTTCCTACTCCCTGTTTTTCTTACCCATTTACACAAGCTCATTAGATAGGTTACTCACTATTTCACTCTTCCCCTCTTGCCTTCAATATGTTCAGTGAGTATTAAATTTTCCAAGCCCTCTTTCTTTACTATGTGTTGTAGAAATTTCAACTTTCTCTTTCTCATTTTATATATAATTGTCCTTTATGTTTCCATTTAACTTAAAATTTTTCATTGTTTACATGTTCCATCCATGGTATTCTCAACATCCTCCTGTAAAACTACATCTCTGTTGCCTCATCACTTCATTTCAGAGGATATTGTTCAGCATTCACTGTCATATAGGAGGATCAATATTACATAGCAGTTCAGCACTCTTTTCTTTGTAATGAACTTTTTGTCTCTTAATACTTTGTTTAGCTTTTGGAAAAAATATTTTTTTATTCCAATACACCTTCAGTTTTCTTTGTCACATTTTCTGTTATCTGTTAAAACACTGCCCAGATATTTAAATTTCTGTGCTTGTTTGATTATGACATTTTCAATTTGTAGCTTATACCATCAACTCTCCCTCTTGCTAATAAACAAACATTCTGTCTTAAAATTTATGGTCTTTCTTCATGCTTTCTTTTATTCAAATACTTGAATTTTCACATCCATCTCTTCTAGCCAATCAAAAAGAAGTGTGACTATCTAATCAAAAGTTATAGTAAGATTCCTTCCACAACACTCATTGGTTAGGTTGTTTAATACATGCAATGGCATGTTACGTATTTTAACCAATTGACTCATGTTGTAGCATACCTATGGATGATAATGGGTATGTCCCCATTCACATAAACACAGTAGTAAATACTGTATGTTGGTCTGCAGTTGAAGATTCGTCTCCACTTTTGTTGGCCAAACTTTCTGCCTCCAGGCAGAGAGGATCCCCAGATAAGGCTATGTCAAAGGGCAGAGTCTCGTCTCAGGAAACAGCTACCCGACCCCATTTTATACAGGGTATACAGGGAATTTTTGGCTAAGCCTATGGGCTCGGATACCCCACATTAAATTCGGCCTTGTGCCATATCTGACCATGTGGAGTGGTTGGTAGATATCTTGCAGTAGGAGATTCATTGTGGAATTCACTTGACTCACTTCTAGCAATTGACTACTTCTTCTACGCACTGCTGGCAAATCTTATATGTGTTGTTCTTGTCTTAAGTCATTCATTACCAATATTCATTTGATTATTCAGTAACCTCACCTATGTTGCAACAACTGACAAATTTCAGTTGGTTAATTCAAATTTATTTGAGCAAATAGTGTATATACTAAACTTTGCAATTTTCAGGATTTCTAAATTTCTACTATGATAATTCTCCAACTTGTAGCATCAGTTAGTTTCTTTGAGGGGATGTATTTAACTAATGCAAACATGGAAGTGTGGATGTTTTCCCATACTCAAATAGATATTTATTACAGCTTTTTCATTTTTAAAAAAACTTTTATGCAGAAAATAAGCAAGATACTTCATCTTTGTACACTGCAAGCAATTTACGCTACTTATTAAATAAAATCCATTGTTACTGTTTTATCTTTTGTAGTTATCTTTGAAATTTCTAAGTTTGTTTATCAAACAGTTATCTTTAACTCTGATGCAACTATTTCCTATGGCACTGAATTGTGAAAACAGAGTCTTGTACTTGATCCTGCCTCTTTGTGTCTTCATAATAAATTAATAATAGCTTGAAAGATGAAATTTTGGCAATAAATTCATTTAGTAAATGTTTAGTATTTTTTCATTCTTTCACTGTCTGCAGTGAATCAGTGAACGAGTGAAATTCAGAATAATAAATTTTCAAAGTTTATTTTTAGATCATTAATATAATAATTTTATTTTCCTGTTTTTGATAGCTATGCTCAAACAAACTACAAACTGAATTTATTTTTGTATACATATAAATTCTGTCATTTATTTAACTCAGTTTCACTTAATTCTAATTTACCAGAGCTGTAATGTTTATTTTCAAAATAATTCAGCAAAACATTTTTAAAAGTTAGTAAAAATTTATAAATTGAAAATTTATAAATGATAAACCTTAATAAATTTTCAAATAATAAATTCTTAATAACTCACTTAGAACAGGAAAGAAAGAAAAAATGAAACCAAATAGCAGCTAAATAATAACAATGCAATTTATTGTACATTAGGTTGCTGAAAAGTTATCAGTCTGATCAGAATCTGAGTGAATGACCAAATATCAGAACTTTTTTCCTATTCCTTCCTGATAAGGCTGAGAACTTTTCAACAGTCCCACATAACTGATGAAACAAATTAATGGGAATATTATGGGATGGTAACTGAACATGGTATCCTATAAGAAAATTGAAGAGAAGTTATGTTTGGCAACACATGAGGGCATACAACATTTTTAAATATCATAGGGATTAAGTGCCCCCAAATTATATGAAATACAAAGCATTTTCAACATTCTGGATTTTATTTTCTCATTGGATGTTTTTATTTTGGAAAATTCCTTTACTAATATCAGAAATATATATTATTTTATCACTGTTTAAAAGTAGCTAAATGATATATTATGAAAATACTGCATTTCGTTTTTCCTTTTATATTTCATATTTGGAATGACAAAATTAAATTAAAATTTCTTATGACAATTTGATAAAAGAACATGCAGATTTCCTGTGACTTTTACAGACAAGCTTCAAAACTTCGATATATATCTTGCATTAAACTTTTAACAGTAAAGATCAGAGTTTTATAAAATTAAAGAGTAAAACATTTTGCATACCTGATATCAAAGGATAATGCAGTGGCTAAATTCATTTTAGTTCCAATGACCAGCTCCAGTTAACAATTCTGGAACTTATTGATGTTATTATGCAGTTTCTCAAAAGTCAATGTTTTTTCTCTCACATTTTGTTCAATGAGTAAATCTATTGAATAACTTAAACATTTTGCAGCAATAAAAAAAAATGAAAAAAGTATGAAAATTTTTATTAACATTAAAATTCTATTTGAACTGTTGCTTAAAGTAATTGGTACTATTGAGGAATTATTTTAAATGAAGACAAAAAACATGTTTTAAATTATTTCCCTACGGTAATTCAGTTATAGTTTTGTATGGCGAGTTAAGACTTCAAAGATAAAGTTGATCATTGTAGTTTAGCATGAGAAAAAATGTCAAATGTGAAATTTGGCAATAGATTTCAAAGTGATACCTGCATTATGAGAGAGGTTGGGTTAGCCTAAAGAAATTAAATTAAGCAAAAATAGATAAATCATGGATTTATGAAGATGGCACCATTATAGAAATGGTCAAAAATAAAAAGAAATATTGATGTATGTATTAATATATAGATTATAGACCAAAATCATTGTGTAGAAATTATACTGGTCAACAAGGCAAAATAATGTTAAATGTGATGGAACTGGAGAGATGTTTGTTACTACTCAAATAGCACCTAGGGAAGTTCAGCAATGGTATCAAGTATCTTCTTTTATAGGATGCAATGGGTAAATTGTCAGTATTTTATATTTTTAATTTTGTGCATGCACATTGTTTGTTATTGATTTTGTTAACTGCACAATACAGTAGGGTCAGTTTGGGCACCCCCTTTGAGAAAAGGAACACCATGACAAAATTCACTCTGCCAGAAATTTGGTAACAGCATGCTATACTGCTTGGCATTTGCATTGGAAGCTTCAATACAAGATTTCAGAGAATTTGGAAAGTTAGATGATATATCCAGTCAACATCATGGTGTTTGGAGTGATCACTAGTGATGGCGATGTTATGCCTCCATTCATCTTCCCACTCAACATGGAGGCCTACATCAAATGATTTGAGGAGGTAGTGCTGCCCTGAGTCAAGAGGGTGGCAACAGAACTCTGCGCCATGTCACAGGAGACATGAATCATGGCTGTCAGACAATTTTTGTAACCACATCACACCTTACATCTGGCCACCTAATTCACCAGATCGCAACCTCCGTGATTATCATGTGTGGGGTGCAGTTGAGCAAGAGACCAAAAAAAACTCCTTTTAACAATAAAGATGAACTGAAGGCAAGGATTATGGCAGTGTTCGCCAACTTAAACAAGGAGACTGTCCAGAAGAGTTGCAGGAAATTCTGAAGTCATCTGGATGCCATGGTTGAAGCCAATGGCAATTTTATTGAATAAATTTACTCTATAGCCTTTCAAGATATTTTTGTGTAATTTTGGTAAATATATCTGTTAAAATGAGATGTTAGTGTTATTTTCATTTTTGTATAATTTAGACGACAATTTATCAATCGCACATTGTAAGTGCTATGTCTCTTCAGGATGTTGGCAATCATGTCTCACCACAATTTCCTATACTTTTTTGTAGCACTTAATAAATTTTGTCTTTCTTTTATCTATCCTCAAACTTTTTCCGCCCTTTATTTACTCAAGCTCACTAGGTAGGTTATGTCTTGTTTCCTTCTATCCCTTTTGTCTTCAAATTTGCATATCAAATTTTCCAAGCCCTCTTTCCTCATTATGTGCCCTAGAAATTTCAATTCTCTCTTCTTGATGTTAATTATAAGTGTCCTTTTTGTTTCCATTTTCTCTAAAACTTGCTAGGTAGGTTATGCGTTGTTTTCCTCTATCCCTCTTTGCCTTCAATCTGTCCTGTGAGTATCAAATTTTCCAAGCCCTCTTTCCTCATTATGTGCCCTAGAAATTTCAACTATCTTTTCCTGATGTTAAATATAAGTGATCATTTTGTTTCCATGGTATCTAAAACTTTATTTTTGCTCACATATTTGGTCTATGGTATTCTCAGCATCCTTTTGTAGAACTACATTTCTTGTTGCTTCAAGTGTCCTCCATCTATGAGGAGATTGTTCAGGATTCAATGCCATATAGGAAGACTGATATTACATAACAGTTCAGTATTCTTTTTTTTGTTTCTAATGAAAATTTTCCATTTCTTAATACTT